CACACCTACTTAGACATTTTCTTTCTCTGTACCCCTCTTACCCTTCTCTCTCTCGTTCTCTCACGATCACTCTGGGGGCAGACCTTGAACACTTCACAGAGGGAGATTTATTAGCTGCTGTCATGTGAGCAGCCCATCATGTAGCTGATGAAGGTGGTTCTTCCTGATTCAGCCCTAATGCTTAGCGCTCTCCCACTGGCACTCACAGCATTTTTAATCCTGATCCCAATGCACACTGACAGGTGTAACAGCCAACAAATTCTTTTAGAGTTCATCTTGATCCCCTGCCCTGTTTCCGGCTCTGTGAATGTGTGGGGAGTTGATACTTCGCGCTGTGAGACTCGCCATGCAAGTCGCACCGCAGTCAGGTGGATGCATGTGTTCTAGCCTGAACTTTCACAGCTCTGTGCAGCCATTCTGCTGGACGGCATGGAACTTTTTTCATTATCAGCACTGAGGAGACTGACCTGCATCTTGTGCTGGGCAATATGTTGTCTATACTGGAGTACCAGTACTGGCGCTGCACAACGCTGACTTTAGTTTAAGTGTAGGTGATCTGGCAGGTGCTTCAGATTGTTTTAAAAGAACATTTCAAAACAACAACAAAAAAAAACTAAAGACATAGTACACCTATTTATACTCATTATACATACACACACACACGTACACATACACACATATAGACATGTGTGTGTGTAATTAAGAGAACAAAACAGTCAAGACAAGCATACATACACACAAAAATATATGGTGATTCAAAAAGATTCATTCAATTCCAAAGCGCTACATTTTTACAACCGTGAGGCGTCTAGGAACCAATCACATACCAATTGAAAGAGGGGGGTCATAGAGTTTCTGACTGTCACCGGAAGATGGCTCCCTTCAGTCTGCGAGGAGATGGAGACCCCTGAGCAGAAAGCGTTCTGCGTTCTCCACTTCAACATCATAACCGTGCAACGTGATTTTCGCCAGCAGTGAACCTCCAACAGCTCAGAGTGTTCGGCGTTGGTTCCACAACACTGGATGATCTCCGAAATCGCATTGAAAGAGCCGTGAGTACAGTGACACCCGACATGCTCAATCCAGTATGGGATGAATTTGACTATGGTGTTGATGTTGTCCGTATAGCTGGAGGAGGTTCATATTGAGCACTTGTAAAATACATAAACTTTATTCTAACTTAAACCATTTTCAATTTACTGCATTGTTCTGTAATGATTTACAAGTGAAATAATTTTGAAATCGGATTAATCTTTCTGAATCACCCTGTATATATATACACGCACGCACACACGCGCACACACACACACACACGTATGTGTGTGTATATATATATATATATATATATATATATATATATATATACACACATATATAATTTGCATACAAGAAACAGTATTAAGCACACCTTGATTCAGTAACTTATTAAGTTAACTTTTAATTTTTTTTAATACGCCCCAGCTCTACCTACAAGAGCAACCAGAGAGACAGAAAGACAGAAAGACAGACAGACAGAGACAGAAATGCCACAAAAGAGACACAAAAACCAAGAGAGACAGAGAGCTTCCTCTGTGACCAACCAGGAAACGCGATCACGGAGGCTATAATATTCATCACACCACAGCAGCTGTCAAAACTGTGAACTCAGACCTCTGCAAGTATTACAAGCTTTCTGACTACACTTTCCTTTTCTAAAACCTTCCCAAGAACGCACACCTAACCATCACTATTATATGACAAAAGTTAAAAAGTTCATGAAATGGGCATCATCTACAATAACTGGCGTTCTTGCCTTCTTACAGAAGTTCATGGATGCTTGCAAACTACATTTCATGCTGGAATAATTGTTTGTCTTGATTATGATTAAAAATAAAAACAAATTTTTAAATTAATTTTTATATTTTAGGCTTTCTGCTGTTTTATAAGCAGTAAGCCACTTGAGGCTGTGTGCTACAGTGAATTTCAACACAATTTTATCGCTTGTATTAATAGCTAGCTGTAAAATACAGCCTTTCTAGCTCGATGGCTTTAATACTTTAATGACAGATTATCCCATTCATCACAAAAATATACCCTCGATTACTCAAATACTCATATAAACAACAATGACAGTGAAAGTATCTAAAGTTAGAGTGCTGAACTGTTTTCAACAAGCACTGAACTTTTGACACTTCTTGTGCTCAGTTCCTCAGAGAAGATTAGGTTTCTAACAACATGGCCATCTTTGCTATATCTCCCTCTTAACGAACAATATGCCATTTCCTCCCTTCATATGGCAGGCCGCTCCTCCTGCCTGAGGGCACCCCAGTCGTATGGTCCGAGTGTGAATAGGAGACGCAAGTGACCCAGTTCTTATGGCTGCTCCATGGAGACGTCCATCCATCTTCCCTTCTCTTTCTTTCCATCCAATACAGAATTTCATCCCCCATCTCCATCTGATGGATCGTGGCGCAATGGACCATAGCTGGGCTGAAAAGGTATCTCCCCATAAAGCTCTTTCACAAAAGCAGAGGGCAGAGGCCTACAGTGCAATTCGGTGCAAAGTGACTTAATAAGAGTCTTAATAAAAACGCTCCATCTCACACTGAAGTGCTGCCAAGCCTGAGAAGTCAAAGTCACACAGGGGCCAAGCTTCTGACTGACCACTAATGATGCTCAAGATAAGTGTGTTAAAGAAACGATTCACTGAAAAATCCAACTTGCACGCTTTTCCCCCCAAACACAGTCGATTGGCCCAGATACATTTGCTGTCACAAGTTTGCTTCTTTAGTTCTGTACTGGAGCTACGAGTCGAATATATCAGAAGGCTGTAGCAGCCAGAAAGGTTTTGGGTGGCACAGACTTCCATTGCTTGCTAGTTTCATTTGCTTCACAGCTCAAGTGCAAAACTTAAGAAGCAAACTTCAGAAACCAAACATGCCTTTGCTGATCAACTATGCAGGGTGATTCAAAAAGATTAATCAGATATCAAACATGATTTATTTCACTTGTAATCATTACAGAACAATGCAGTAAACTGTAAATGGTTTAAATGAGCATAAAGTTTATTATGTATTTTACAAGGTCTCAATATGCACCTCCTCCAGCTGTACGGACAACATCAACACCATAGTCAAATTCATCCCATACTCGATTAAGCATGTCGGGTGTCGCTGCACTCACGGCTCTTTCAGTGTGATTTCGGAGATCATCCAGTGTTGTGGAACCAACGCGAACGCTCTAAACTGCTGGAGGTTCACTGCCCACGAAAATCACGCTGCACAGTTATGACGGATTCACTCTTATTGAAGTGGAGAACGCAGAACGCTTTCTGCTCAGGGGTCTCCATCTCCTCTCAGACTGAAGGGAGCCATCTTCTGGTGACAGTCAGAAACTCTATGACCCCCTCTTTCAATTGGTATGTGATTGGTTCCTAGGAGCCTCACAGTTGTGAAAATGCACTTTGAAATCAGATGAATCTTTTTGAATCACCCTGTATTTGGAGTCATGGGAAAATTGTGTAACTTTGATTGTTCGACACACCTAATGTACCTCCAACGCAAAACCATTCCAACTGCATCTCATAGGTCAAGTGCAAAACTAAAGGAGCAAATTTCAAAGACCAAACATATGTGGGCAAATATTGGCCTAAAATGTGAATGCTCAGTTAAGTGTTCCTTTAAGTCATATTTGCACTTATCTTGGACAATAATGCACTACTATCACCTGCACAATTAAGAAGATAAACTATATCCTCATGATCCAAATTCAGTGATGACATAACACGTATGAGTGTTACAGAGCCTTACCTGCAAAATAGCTTGCATTTTGCCTTAGGCGGTACACTTAACATTCAATGGTTAGTTGGAAACCAAAACATTTGGAAACTGGTGAGTCGACACGCTTCTTCTGGACAAGCTTGTCCATTTTCCTCTTTACTGGAGAGTAGATCTCAAGAACTAGACTCTTTACCAGGCTGAAAATTTACAATATTATCTATGACTTTCAAAGTACGTATGAATGCAGTTCATTAGTCAGTGATGTTCTGTTCGAATAGCATCTAATTAAGCGCAATCTTATACACATTATACACATTTTTAACTAAATTAAGCAAATAAAGATGTGTCATGTGAAAGAAGAACAATAAATGCAGTAATAACGGCACTTAATTATTATGATTTATTTGATCGTTTCAATTATCAGCCCAAGGCAAACTGCTATAGAGGTTTTCCACCATTCATTTAATTGACATGTCATGCAGTGGTAAGTAAAAGCTACTGGACGTGTGGTAGAATCTATTTTTGAGTGGCTGCATCAGTTCAAACGTGTGGTTGGAAAGCATTTCACACCTGCAAGACTTGCTGCGGCTTGACAATCCATCAGTAGCTTCACAGAAGCTGCAGCTTTCATAGAAACAGAAAGTGGGATTTTAAAGGCTTCACGCGTTTTACGCTTTGACTCTTGACTGAAAATTGTATTAGCAATGCATTTACAGAGCCACTTCTCTTGGTCTTCTGATGTGACTGCAGAGAAATGACTTCATTTCCTGAGCAGGGGGGTGTTGTGGTCTGCTGTGAACTAAGCTGAACTAAGCTGTTAAAAAGCATTTCACAATTTTCTAACTCATTCAACTTCAGAAGTTCTAAAATTCAGAAGCAAAGCAAAATGTGACTCAAGAGTTTTCCTATTTTTTCTATTTTTAATAGAAGATTATAACAAAACCTGGTCTATTCAGTTCAATTATGTGTGTCAATAACTACAAAACTCAACCTACTTTATATAACAAAGCTGAAGTCAGCTTCGTATTCCAATTTTCCAGTTCCACCTTAAATGGTGCAGCAGTTATATTCTGGTCTCAGGCGCCAGTATGTAACTGCTGCACCATTTAAGGTGGAACGGGAGAATACAAGAAGCTGGCGAACAGGACAGGAAACCTCATCTCTATATAAATGTTCAGCTCTTTAAAACAAGCTTATAACTCGAGAGTTTCTAAGTCCTGATAAGCGAAAGGTTTAACTTACCTGCATCCCCGGCAGCCCGCCCTGGACCGGAGAGTGAGCCATGGCGACACTTCGACACTTCTGTCCCCAAAACTGGCCAGTAAGTCACTAACAACGGTGTCCACACGGGTACAGCGCTCTCAGACAAGGGGCTGAAAGCCTTAAGACTGTATTCTCGCTCCTTAAAAGGTGCACAAACGATGTAAACAGCATCCACAGAGAGACACTGCTGGTCCACCGGGATTCGAAGCGACCCTCGCTACCGCACACCCCCCTCTCCTCCTCGGGGAGCTGCTGGCCGAGCCTCGCTAGCTTTCACGCAGCTACCCGTGACTTGTTAGCCGCCTGTTTTATTCGGAAACAACGGCATTACATTAAGACACCGCAAAGGAAAGAAACGGCTCGATACTTGGACAAAAATACTGTGTTTAAAGAAACTCCAAGAGCCACCGAAACGCTGCTCTAACGGTTCCGGAGAGCTTTTCTTTAGGCGCATATGCAGCTAGCTAGCTGCCTCGCTACAGCTGGCTGGGCAAAACTCGTCAGAGTTTGCGCAAAACGGATTTCCAAAACATCGCGCTGAAAGGCGCCGCCGCGCTCTTAAACGGCCGGACTGCGGTGTGTTCGGCGGCCGCGCAGCCTGTGAGCTACGCTGCGACCACCCCGACTGCACCAAGAGAGGAAAACGCCGCGCGTTTCGAGTCAAAACACGAATGTTGACATCCTCACTTCACTTTCCAGCTCGCCGCCATCTTGTCAGCGCTGTCATTGGGGCATCAGGGCGGGGCGGGAGGGGCACGAGGACCCTCCTCAGCGCTCCAGCGCTCTATCGTTATTTTCTTTTAGTTCATTTTTCTTTAGACTTATCATGTTTCATAGTATTTATTTATTTATGTATTTATTTATTTATTTATGTATTTATTTATTTATTTGAATTTAATTATTTAATTTTAAGCTACACTGACTATTATTATTATTATTAGTAGTAGTAATAGTAGCAGTAGCAGCCTGACGTTTTATGCTTCATATTCTTCACGCACTCCTGACTTCAAAAAAGCTAGAGAGCTGAGATAGGGTGGTCAGCTGTCATTTATGTATTTTATTATTATATTATTCTGTTATTTATTCTGTTTTTTTCATTTCATATTTTATAATTCATTGTTGTTCATATTTATTTTTTTCGTCGTTTATGTGTCATTTATTTATTTATTTGTTTATTTTAGCCTGCATAGCCTGACGCTTTATCCAAATACTTCGAAAAACCCACAGAACACAGAGATGTGGGGGGACGGGGGGTCAGCAGTAAGTTATCATTTATTTTTATTCAGGCTTATCAAAGTTTGTCATTTTTATCATTTAATTTTTCATGACACAGCTTGACATTTTTAAATTAATAATAATAATAATAATAATAATAATTTAATTTATTTTTATCGTTTCAATATTTTTCATTTTATTGTTGTGGCATTGATATTTTATCGCTGCATTTTGTTCTTCATATACTTGTGACTTTGAAAAATCCTGTGAGACAGACCGCTCCTCATTCATTCTTTCATTCATTCAGTCAATGTTCACATTTATAATCACTTATTGTTATTCGTCTTCTTTTTTTCTTCTTCTTCTTCTTCTTCTTATTATTATTATATTATTATTATTATCATTATTAGACATCTAAACGTTTTTTTTCCCTTAAGGTAATTCGTGAAAAACCTCAGTGGGTAAAAGTGAGTGAAATAATTCAGCGGGTGAATTGAGGGTTTGAAGGTCTACCAGCACTTTGCTTTGTTAAAGTTAATCGATACCGGATAAAAGGGCTCCGGGACTTGAGCGCCACCCCGCGTTCAAACCGTGCTAACACACGTTCTCTAATATTTTGCAGATATTTTTCTAAACATTGAACACTAGATGGCGACTCTGCTCTACATTTCACAATGACGTTTCGTTTTCGGGGCCTCTGTGTCAGTAATGTACAGATCTATAGCCTGTTCTGAGTTTATCATGAGGACACTGGATATTATTGCACTTGTAGAGACTGACTGTGACCTCCAACTGTACAGTGTCCAAAATTTCAATTTTGGCTTAAAGATCGCTCGCTGACCTCTGTGATGTGTCAGATTTTACTAGGCCCAATTAGGCTATTGATGGAAACATGAAGAACTATTGCAAGTACGAGTTACTCAGGGCTGTGTGAAGGCAAGAAAAGTGTTTAAATACAATTTATAGCAGTGCTTAAAGTTTAAAAGGTCTCAGATTATTAATGCTTCACATTTTCACACATACTAGATTACATTTACTGTTAGTTAAGAAGGAAAAGCTGGCTGGTTTCATGCTCTGACCTTAAGCTTCCCTCATAAATGAGTGTCATACATTGAAATGGCTTCATTTTCGAATTTCAGAACCTGCAGTTTGTATTGATTTGAATCCTGAGCTCACTACATCACTTTAAAAGCGTGAATGAGACTCAGGCCTGATATGCCCAGTAAGTTTGTCTAAGTGTGTGGGTTGAATTCATCCTTATCGCTCCCATCTCTATTTACTGGAATGCTCGGCTGAGCCATGCCACCTAAGGCATCAGACGCGTCTGGAGCCGGGCCGTATGCTGCGAATAAAAAACCCCTCGTAATCCTCAAACACTCTCAAATTCCTCCAGAGGGCCTCTTCATCTCAAATCTGCTCAATTTTCTTCAAACGGGCCCTCAGCCGCACCTCCATGAAAACTGGGTGGATATTTAGTGATGGATGGGCGGTCAAGCTTTGCTTCAAGTGTACCAAGCCAAAGACAGGCCTCTCCCTCCCACTCCCTCTCTATCTCCCTCTCTCTCCCACTCACACGTCTGAAGCCGAGTCCAGGCCTGTAAATATGGGTCTTTACAGAGTGATGATAATATGTAGAGTTTTTCCTCAGGTTGGGATGACATGTCAATCATGGCCTGTGTTTACTCATTGATTCCCTGGGTGCTCCTTATCTTCATAGGCTATACCTCTATCTGCTACTGTCTCTCTCTCTCTCTCTCTCTCTCTACCATATGCATCAGTACACACAATGACTATTGTAATTAAGGCTAAAAGGACGCAGTTCATTTTTAAATGTGCATCAGCTCCTCAAGCTGTTTTGGGCTGCAACCTCATGAAGGGCAGTCATACGTTACACACAGTCCTGTTCAAAACCACCCTTATTAATTCACTTTCCAGTCAAAACACCAGTCCATCGCAGGGCAAAACAGCCATTGAGCGCAAGCTATTCATTTTTCAGCATCAGGGAAAAAACAGACAGCTTATCACTGCTAAACCTCGTATCTCCAAAATGGTAACTTTACAAGAGAAGCAAAAAACATACTTTACTTTAATGTAAGTCAATGGAACCAGACTTTTGCCAAGTCATTTTGTGCCGTTTCTTTTGGTCCATTCATCATGAAATTCACACACAATGTAAACGGCAGCAGGCATTCAGTGATGTTGAGGTCTGGACTCTGGGGTGGACAGTCTATTGTTCTGATGACACCAGCAGCTTCTTTGTTTGATGTGTCTGTTTCCTTTCAATCAGTGCAAAAGGTAAGTTGAGTATCTTCTCTTCTCTTCTCTTCTCTTCTTTCCTTATATCTCCTCTTCTCTTTGCTTCTCTTGTTGTGTCTTCTCATCTCCTATCTTTTTTCTGTCTTCTTTTCTTGTCTCCTCTTTTCTTCTGTCTTCTCTCTTCTTTTTTCTCCTCTCCCTTCCTCTTCTCTTCTCTTCTTTTTTTCCTATCCCTTCCTCTTCTCTTCTCTTCTCTTCTCTTCTCTTCTCTTCTCTCTTTTTCTTCTTCTCCACATTCCTCTTCTCTTCTCTTCTCTTCTCTTCTCTTCTCTTCTCTTCTCTTCTCTTCTCTTCTCTCTTTTTCTTCTTCTCCACATTCCTCTTCTCTTCTCTTCTTTTTTTCCTATCCCTTCCTTTTCTCTTCTCTTCTCTTCTCTTCTCTTCTCTTCTCAGCTGTTCTCTTCTCTTCTCTCTTCTTTTTCCTCTCCGTTCCTCTTCTCTTCTCTTCTCTTCTCTTCTCTTCTCTTCTCTTCTCTTCTCCACTCTTCTTCACTTCTGTCTTCTTCTCCTCTCTTTTCTTCTCTCCTCTCCTCTCCTCTTCTTTTCTCTCCATTCGTTTCCTCTTCTACTGCAACAGTGCATCATTTCAATCAAATTATTAACCCTTCATAACTCTGCAGATTCATATTTATCTCATATTTCTTCATTTGAATTCTGCTACTCTGTGTGCAGTAGTGTAGGCCTCAGCTTTTTCTGCAGTCTTTGTATGTGTGTATGTGTGTGTGTGTGTGTGTGTGTGTGGTTGTGTGTGCGTGTGTGTGTGGTTGCGTGTGCGTGTGGGCACATCTGTGTGTGTGGTGGTCACATGCGTGTGTGTCTGTGTTTGAGATAATGTCCTGTGCTGCACAGCAGCGCTGGCCAATGAATCATTGTGCAGCTATGTGGAGGGTCCAGAATGTTGGTGTAATTAACAGTAATGCGTGCCAGTGGAAGCAGCAGCAGGCAGGAGCACTTTAATTAGCTGATGTATTGAAGGGCCGGGCAGTGTATGGAATAAGAGGTGATGAATGGGCTCTGATGGCCGGAGTTGCTAAAGACTGTCAGAGTAAAAACACCCTGTCTGACAGGAAACAACAGTGTTTTACACATGACCAAATGCAGAAGGCTGCTGAGTCTAGAACTATAGATGGGCTGCCCACAGTGTGAAAAGGCTGCTCAATTAAAACATGGATATATTAAAAGTAACTGCACTGCTTTAGTGTACCTTGCTAAATGTGCGTTTAGCTGTGCGCCGATTAAAATGAGCAGATTTTGCTAGTGCTGTCTGATTGTCTTACTATCAAATTAAAATGATGCATCATTAGTAAAATATGGCTTTCCATATATGAAAAATGTGTGAAGTGGAGTAAAACCGCTGGTATGTAAATAGTGCTGCTACTTTGCTGTGGTATTTCGTTGCACTAACAGTGTTACAAAAGGCCAACTGTAGTTCCAGCCTCCTCCTGTATCATCAGTCACGACCAGAGCAGCACGGTTTAATTAAGCTCTCAGAGCCACACTGTGAGAGGCGCACTTAAATCTAAACTACACAGCACACTGCCATAGGACCTTCGCTATCCCTGCAGGGAGAGAGACGCCTGCTGGGTAATGTAGTTCACTGTATTTACCAATTATGCTGAGGGATAATTGGTGTTTAGCTTGTGCACGGTTGCCCTGCGAAACCAGTGAATTTTGCTAGTAGTTGTTTAGATACAGATTAGATACAGAATACTTTTCCAAAGGGGTTCCCAAAGAAGCTATCCAACGATTTTCCCAAAGGTTTTCCGAATGGTTTTCCGAAATGTTTCTTAGTTTGTTCCAAGAGACCCTCCCAATGGTTGTCTTGGAAGGTTATCCAGTTTTCCTGAGGTTTTCCCAAGAGGATTCCCAATACATGTCCTAAATGTTTTCCAGTGGTTTGACCAATTGTTGTCCTGAGAGGTTATTCAGTTGTTTTCCAGTGTTTTTTTTTCAGTTGCTTCCCAGTGGCTTTCCCCAAAGGAGGTTTCCCAGTGGATTTCCTAAATATGTTTTTTTTTTTTCCAAATTTTTTTCCCCATGATTTTACCAGTGGTCTTCCCATTGTCTCTCAATAATCTAAAATGTTTATTGCCATGATTTAATTCATTTCCATTCAATGTTCTATAGAAATTTATACATCATGGTATCCCAATACAATATTTTCCCAGTGGTTTTGCCCAGAG